GATAGTGGAGCAACCTCATACAGCAATAGCTGTATGAGGCCTTTAAGCAAAACACATATGTCAATTGTTGGGATCACAGGAAAGTAAGCTTTAATGCCATTTATAAAACCTATAGAATGTACGATTGTAGGTACTAGGTTAACTCATGAATTTCTATACATGCCAGAATTCCCCTTTCCGTTGTTGGAACAAGATCTATTATGTAAACTGGAAGCACAACTAACATTTTCTGATGAGTCTATTTGGTGACATGTGCCTGAAGAGATAGCATGGAAAGTTCAGTTCTGCCTATTGACTAAAAATAAACAGGGAGAGACCAAGATCCTGGAAGGAATTCTGAATGTTGTGTTACCTCTGCTGTGGTCCTCCAAAAATCCAGGATGAGCAATGAATGCTACTCCCATAAAGGTCAAATTAAAATCAGGATCACAGCCAGTAAGGAAAAAGCAGTACCCAATGAAATTAGAAGCCAGAGTGGGATTGGACCACTAATTAATACCTATGTGCAGTATGGCTTACTACAAGAATGTCAGTCTGAATATAACTCCACTATCTTGCCAGTGAGGAAACCTCAAACTCAAGAATATAGACTGGTCCAAGATCCAAGGGAAATTAATAAAACCACCATAGATGTCACCACCTTCATCTGGATTTAGTTCAGGGCTGCAGTTAGATGTTTGCTACAGAAACAGCAGTGTCACTATCAGATAATCCTGCCCTGGGGCTGCTTGCTACAACCCCACAGCTTGGCTGGTGGAAAAGTTCATGAGAGGGTTCGCCATCTGCCCTGGGGCAGTCAGCTGGCTCAGGTTAAAGAGCCCTTGTTGGCTGGAGTCAAATGGTCTGTGGCCGCCTTTGCAGGGCTGTGTCAAAACTCCTTGTATCAGGCTTGTGACCTGCCTGCAGTTCTGTTTCTGACCTTCCCTTGAGACACGACTGAATATGTTCCAAAACGTTTTCAGTGATGCAAACAAGGATAAAAATTAAGCTCTTGTGTATGAACGTAGCCAAAAGTGTAATGCAGTCCTGGGCTACCTGACTGGAGGCAGCATTCTAGCATGCTGTCCCCAAACAATACCAGACCTGCAAAATTTTTAGACTTACGGACACTAGAGTAGGTAAATACTGTAGTGAGAATCCAAGGAGCTGCTATTACAACTTCAACTGCTAGATCACAGTAGATGAGATCATTTCCAACAGACATTGCTTAACTAAGCACTGTATTATCATACAGTAAAGCAATTAATTGATAGACATTGAAGAAGTTATGTCAACTTTATACCATAAAACAATAAAAGATATTTGAAGTCAGAACTCACTCGGTATTAGCACAAATCTAATCTTGCAAAAGTGACTGTTCCACATCTAATTTTATAAAAACAAAAAACACCTAAATTGGCATGCACTAGAAAAGGACAGCTGCTCGGTCCTTCATACTATAATGTGATTATTTGTGAAGCATTCAAAAGGCATAGATCTGCGCCAGTGTCACCTGGCTAAAACAGCCATATTAGATCTGAAAACCTGTCAGTCAGTGGAACTGCCATAGTAGCAGAAAAGGAAACCATATTCACACTGTGAATGTGTCATGTCCCTCTCAGATGAGGGGGACAAGTGGCTCAGAATCGTAAATGCCCGATGGAGCAGACAAGTCTCCAAGTCCAAGCATTTATTAATTACCCACAATGTACTAATTGAGCACATGATAATTGGCTAAGTATATAGCGAGCAATACAATATGCCTTTCATTTCTTAATGGAAAAGGGAAAAGAGGGAGATAGAGGGAATGGGGAAATAGGTCTGGGTTCCTGCGCTGATCCCGCTGGCGAGGGTTCCAGGAGGCAGCTGTCTTTTTTGCTGGCATCCGTCTTCTTCGCCTCACTGCTGTCTCCAGGTGGCCAGGGGGGGCAGAGAGGGGCCGGCCCTTTCTCCCCCCCTTGATTTATACCCACTTTCCTTGGGTCCATCCCCTAGGCTGACCCACAGATCTATGTATCCCATGTACAGGGAGGGGTCAGGTATTTCATGGGATAATGTAGTTAGCATGATCATGCCAGTCTTCATTCGCATATTGAGGGGTGTTAACTTTAATACGCATTTCGTGGATAATGAAGCAAAGTTCATTCACCGGACACATGGCCCTTAAAATTTGCCCAGGTGCCCCAGAGCAGAGCCGTCCTGTCTCCACAGGGCTCTCTCCCCCAGCTACATCGGGCAGCGTTATCAGCTCTGGCCTCCACAGGATGCACCCTGGGACTCAGAGTTTTGTCTTGCGAGTGTTTGAGGCATTTCTTCAATCAGCCTCAACTTTTACTTTCCCAAGCTGTGTTTCTCACAGGCCTGGTTTCTTGTCTCTCACAGAATGGTGACTAATAAGGATTCTTTTGAGCACCTTTTTGTCTTGTAGAATTACTGGTATGTCATTCCTTCATTTTGTGATGCTTCTGTAGCATATGTATGCATCAATATTTCTGCCACAGTCTAAAAGTCGTTTTCCCTACCATATTATCACTTCTCTACCCTTTCTGTGTCACAGATTGTTTGTATAAAAACCAGCCAAATGTGTTATGAGTTTCTTCCTCCAAGACCCTCGGTAATGGAGCTGAGTATGGAGTTGGTTTTCCTGTCCTCTAACCTTTTTTTAATCATGTCAGAACATTTTTGCTCCAAACATGTTTATGTTTTATGTTTAAACTTTGATGAACAAAAAATATCCAAACTCAGACATCTCTGGCATCTTACATCTTACTTTATAGAGCCTAAAATTACAGTGAAACACCAACTGGCATAAAACTGTGTTTTGAAAAATGTCAAAACGTATCCTTTTGATCATCTGCCATTTCCCCCCCCCCCATCTTCTCCTAGGAAAACTTATCATATTCACTTACCTCACAAATATTCCTGGTTTTGATAAGTTTGCCTGCTATGAGGAATGCATTTAATTTACAAACTCTAACTGGCTCTACTCAGCATGAAAATCAAGAGTTAAGAGTACAGCCTGAAAACTAGCTCAGGTGTGAACAACTAACTTCAGTGCTGGACAAGTGTTTTCTCTGACTTCACACTTCCCACATATAACAGTAAAGTACAAAAATATCAATCCCTGAGATTGTTGTAGCATTGTTGTTGCTTAAGAATGTATTGCACGTTGTAATCCATCTGTGTTGGATTTCAGTTGTTTGTATTGAGGAAGGCTGTTGAATTTATTTTCAACAATTGTATGTATTGTATTTCAATACATACAATTCAACAATTGTATGTATTGTATTTCAACAAATGTATTGCACGTTGTAATCCATCTGTGTTGGATTTCAGTTGTTTGTATTGAGGAAGTTGTATTGAGGAATATTGTTTGTATTGAGGAAGTTTGTATTGAGGAATATTGTTTGTATACATACAATATTGTTTGTATTGATACATATTTTGTATTGATACATGATACATGATCAATACATACAATATTGTTTGTATTGAGGAAGTTTGTATTGAGTTGTATTGTATTGAGGAAGGCTGTTGAATTTATTTTCAACAATTGTATGTATTGTATTTCAACAAATGTATTGCACGTTGTAATCCATCTGTGTTGGATTTCAGTTGTTTGTATTGAGGAAGGCTGTTGAATTTATTTTCAACAGGCTACTGTATTGAGGAAGGCTGTTGAATTTATTTTCAAATTCTTCTTCCAACTTTGCTAAGCTAAAGGAGAACAAAACCAATCAAATTAAATGTAGCTCTGTTTCTGGAGAAAAAAAAAAGTTTAGGAGCATGTGTGTGCATATACTACCTATCTACATAGAGAAAAGGGGAAAGAGATAAATGCACACACACTGTAAATATCAAACTAGTAGATATTAATTCAACTTTAGGATGAGAATGTACAGTGTGGCTTCCACATTTGTAACTCAGCACAAATTGATAACTTTAGTTGCATATATTAAAATTAGAAAATTTACACATTTAGCTCTGTTTGCTGCAGATTCGCACAGGAGATGTGTCTGTTCTGTGAGAGGAATGAAAAAAATGACAAAGCAAATAAACGAATAAGAAAATAAAATAAATTGACATAGAAGTTTTTACACTGGCATGAAAACAATAATAATTAAAATAAGAAAAAAAAAAAAGCCAAAGTATTAAATATTCTGGGGATATACTAAAACCTGGTGGGAATTGTATTGTATTCTTGTATTGTAGTCTTGTATTTGTTAGGGGGGATTATATTTCCTCCTGTTTTCTATTTGTTGCAAAATGAAAAATGAAACTAGCTCATGTTTTCATGAAATCACACATCCCTCATACTTCAGCCAAATCCTGCAATGACTGCACTGTCTTGTATAATTAGACTTCGTATATTAAAAATTGCTTTTTAACCAATGTTTAGCACCTTGGTTTCTCAAGGGTTAAAATACCTCTGGCAACTTGGATCAGTGCATGGGGATTTAAAAGTGCTCTAGACTAAGCAGGCAAATGAGTTGAACTGCATTTAGTTAATTCCCTGGCTGTCAATAACGCAGCCAACCCTATGCTGAAGACATCTGGGGCTCGTCTGCTGTTCGTAGTGGACGTTTCGGGCCCTTTCTCAGAGATGTCACTGCTCTGTGACGGATATACTGATCAGAAGGCAGGAGGCACTTTGGGAGTGGCCCCTTCTGATGGAGACTGGAGAGCTCTGCTCTTCTGGCCTGGCCGTCAGGCAGTAGCTTTCACAGTGGTCTCGTATCTCAGCTCAGATCTGCTTTCTGTCGTTAGGAAAGAGCTTTGATTTGCCAGGGCTGAGTGAATTGAGATGTCCTCTACTGCCCATCTGCACGAGACACCCCCCTCTAGCAAGGGACAGGACAACCTTACACATACAGAAAGGGAAACCTCCCGCCAATTACTCCATGGGAATGCAGCAGGCAGAGATTTCTGGGCAAGAAATGTGACCTTTCTACTTAAGCCTGAACAGGGCAAGATGATGGAACTGACCAAAATTGTTCAATAGCATCCTGAGTCTCATCCCAGCCCAGCACCAGCAGCCGTCCCTCACAGCTGGACAGCCGGCCCGCCCACCCCGGCACCCCAAGAGCTGGGCGCGACACCAGCAGCCATCGCCTGTGCTGGAAACCTGTCCTGCCTGCCACAGAGCCCCAGGGGCGTGGCCCTCGCCAGCCCGGACAAACGCCAGCCCACCCGCCTCCAGCCCGGCCTCCACGTCCAGCCAGCAGAGGCAGCAGCTGCTGTGGCACCAGCCCAGCACCCTCCAGCCCCCGCAATAATGGAACCCACAGCCCCGGCCCCGAGCCCATTGCCCCCGCCCTCCTGCAAGGGCCGGAGGCAGCCCCGCCAGGGCTCGGGTTTGGAGAGACGACACACTCCCGACCGGCAGCTCCAGGGGCAACCGTTTATTTCAGAAGAGCTGCACAGCAATAAATGCAGCTGAGGAGCACAAAGGAGTCCGGAGGCAAGCAGAGAGAGGCCCCCGTGGTGTGGAGTCCTTGGAGACTGATGCCTTGGGGGGACGATTCTCACTCAGGTCAGGCCAGGAAAACAAATGGAACTCGGGAGTGGGAAGACTCCGGCAGCCCCTTTGCTAACAGCCACGGTGAGAGCCTGCTGACACTTTCCCGTCTGCTGCTGTACCAGCATCTAGTGTGGGGAGGAAGAAAGACAAGTGTGAGATGTTATGGGCAGGGAGAAGGCAGAGAAGTCCCACAGGCTGAGCTCCGGCCACCTGGGATGGGATCTGCTTGCGATGGAGCCTCAGGGTGTCTGTGAGCTGGGAGAGGCCCCTTGTGCCCAAGCGCCTGAGAAGGTCCCATCCTGGGCTCAGCCTGGGCCTGGATCAAGGGCAGCCAAGACTTTGGGTGTCCCGTGCAGGTGTCCCGCCTTGGGGCGAGGTGTCTTGGGGCAGGATGTGCCAGGGAAGGACACGCTCTCTGGTTTGGAAAGGGGAGAGCCAGAGGGACCCCTCTGTCTGCAGCCAGGACTTTTACATCCCACATGGAAAGCCTCTTCAGGCTGCCCAGGCAGTCCCCCTTGGCTTGGTCCAGCCCAAAGCCAGCCCCCAGACCCTGCTGCTGTCTCAGGATGGGTGTCAGAGAAATCCCCTCTTTCCCCCAGGGCCGCCCTCAGGGAAGGGATGGGCCTTGCAACCAGGGGAAGCACAGCCTTTTTTGGAGAGGGGAGCTGCCTCTGCTGCTCTTGATGTCGCCTGTTGTTCTCAGCAACATGCTTGAATATGTTCCTCTGTTGGTGATACGTCTCCAGCCTTCTGAGGACCTGAACCGCTCGTGGGGAAAGTTGGCTGCAACAACAGGGAACAACAGCCCTCAGCCTCTGCCGGAGACCCCCTCTGCCTCTCCCCTCGTCCAGCCCCTGCACCCCCCACTCCCGCGCGTACCCACCCTTTCACCCTGGGGTGAGTTTTTGGCCTCAGCCGGGGGGGTAAGCCAGGTCATGGCCATGTCAGGAGACATCAGAGGGTCTCCGGTAGAACCCCAGGACGCAGGGACGGGGGACCTGGCCGTCTCTGCGGGGTCATGGCTGCTCCACTGCCCCAGGCTGTGCCCAGAGCTGGTGCACACTTACGCAGTCTGGTGCCATCGCAGCTGAGCTGCTGCTGCCGTCCGCTGCTCTGGGAGAGGGTTTTCAGCCTGTCTCCACCTCTTGTTGACCTCCTTTCTCCTGGGCTGGGCTGGAGGGTGAGGAGTCCAAGCGCCGAGTGCCTGTCAAGGAGGAGACAGTCTCAGTAAACAGCTGGGAAACAGAGGTGCTGCTTCCCAGAAGACTCTGGAAAGGGGCCTGCAGCAGGACCTGGAGCCAGGAGACTCGGCACCGCGTGCCTGCCATCATGGCTGATGGCTGCTTCTGCCCCTTGGATCCTGCTGCCCATCCCTCCCCCACGGGGATGAGCAGGCCAAGCCCTGCCCTGCAGCTGGCTGTTGGTCCTGCTCCCATCCCCTGGCCACCTGCTGCCCTAGGTGCCCCGACAGAGAGAGTCGCTATTGCTCTCCGCAGTGCCCATCGCTGCCCGTACCTGGGGTGGCTGTTGGTCCTCCCCTGCAGACCAGGCTTCCCACGCCTCCAATTCTGCCTTTGCTTGGTCTCGACGCTCCTTCCACCAGTACGGCACTTTCTCCCGCTCCGCAGACACCTGCCAGACCTCCTGGGGAGGGGGGACAGAAATGCAGCAGCAGACAGGATTATTCTCAGCTCCTGGAGGGGCTTCTGTTGGGTCTGACCTGTGTTGCTGCCCCTTGCCTCAGCCGCTCTGTCGGCTTTGCCCTTGACGTGCCCGGGGCCGTGGAGTCACTCCAGGCTCCTCAGCTGATGGCAAACATGGCTGAGTGACCAAAGGTCTCTGCTGCCAACGCCCTAGAAAGGACCTGTCCATTTCCAATAGCCCCTGGCCAGAGCAAAGTGTTTCAGGACATCCCAGGGGGCAATAACAGTGGGCCAGGGTGTGCAGCAGCTTCCTCCTCGTGAAGAAGATCTGAAGGAGGTGACAGACAGGTTCCAAGGAACTCAAGGGATCCTTTCAGGAGGGCGCTCTGCAGAGAGAGGCTTCTGCCGAGTCTCAAACAGCACAGCAGTCACGGCAAGGCACGTACCTGCAGCGCTCTCCTGCAGCCTTCGGATGACGGGGGCGCAGCGGTGGGCCTGGCTGGAGAAACTGGCCCCTGCCTGACCGTCTCCTTTGTCCTGGCGGAGCTGCCTGGGCATGGGGGGAGCACACTGCAAAGAGACACCGGGAGGAGTCGACATGAGCAGGGGGAGCTTGGTCTCCCATTTTCCCTGGGCATCAAAGCTCCCCAGGCTGGCAGAAGCAGTGGGAGAGGTGGGGCCATTTCCCAGGGCAGGGGGGAGCCTTTCCTGAGCCCCATTAGATGGGTGGGAGAGGAGTGCCCCTCAGCTCTGCTGAGAGGACAAGGGAGGCAGAGTGCACAAACATCCCCTGCCTTCCCTGCTGAGGGGACTGCGATGGGGCAGACAAGCTCTGAAAAACCGTGGCACATGTGCCAGGGACCCTCCTGAGTCCCTGGAGCCGGAGTGTCCCAAGGGGATGTCTCTCCTGCGTGAGTGCAGGGATCCCTTGCATCCCTTCCCACAAGTGTCTCACCTGGCAGAAGGCTTCTTGCCTGTGTCTTGCTGCCTGGTGCTTGGCCCCTGTGTTGGCAGCACAGGCAGGGGAAGCTTCGCCCGTCTCTGCAGCAGCTTGCCAGGACACGCCTCTGCAGGTGGGAGGAAGCTCTTTGGAGCAGCCCCACGGGGAGGGCATTTCAACTGGGCTGTGGTCAGCCCTGGACAGCACGGACCCGTTCCAGTACTTCTTCTGGGCCTGTGCTTTTCTCCAGCCTTCTTGTGCCGGCTGGCGAAATCCTTGGCCACTGCTCCGCCTATAACAATGAACCGAAACCTGGAAAGCAAATGATGACAGAGGCATGAAGAAGGGTGACCGTTACCCCTGCAGCTTCCCAGCACTAACCCTGACTGCCGTGCCAGGCATGGCATCCCTTTCCCGTGGTGGCCACACACAGGTTCAGTTGGCAACCTCCCCCCAGCACCAGAAAGTGGAGCTTTAACCCTGCGCAGTTGTTTCTGTCTGATGCGGACGACGTCAGGCTGGGCATGAGAAACACTCGCCGTGCCCCATCACTCCAAGAGAACACAAGCCTCGCCCCAGCTGAGCTCCAGCTAACCAGAAACCAGTCACTGCAGGGCTGATCCCTGACTTGGTGCTGAGTGTCGAGCCCCGACAGCTCCGGAGCGGGAGCTGGGAAGCCGCCGGCTCAGTCTGCCGAGGAAACGCACTCACCTGGGGAACGCGTGGGCAGGAGCAGCCTCCATCCCCTGAGCAGTGGTTGCTCCCCTGGAGAGCGCCGCACCCGGCATCCACAGCCTCTGCAAAGCCACACGGAGATGTCAGAAGGTTTCCAAGGCAGTTTCCTCTTGGCTGCCAGAGAAAGCATAGCTGTCTCCAGCTCCAAAAGAGAGCCACATCTGCACAGCTCTCTCCCAAATCCACAACCCACACCCCCCACACCCCACATCCCCCCCGCCATGAACTTTAGCCCTTGCTCTGCTCTGGAGGTGCTGCACGACCAACACCGACACTGCGCAAAAACCCTGCGGGGCTTTTTGTCAGGCAAGGACCCAGAAACTCGGGAGAAACTTTCTGTGCTCACAGAGAGCTCAGTGGGGGTGAGCACGGGGACAGGCATTGGACTGGCCTGCCACGTCCAGGCTGGCCCGTGACAACTGGGTGGCTCGCCCTTCACCAGGCTTCCCGAAGATGCTGAAGCAGGCTTGACGACTTACAGTGTGAAGCAGTGCGATCTGGCTGGCCTCGCTCTCCAGCCCCGTGACGCAGTCGTAATAAAACCGCATGCACAGGACGTTGTCTCTGCAGGACAGCACGCCAATGTCCTTGAAGGCAAAGGCCAGGCGCTGCCTGTTCCTCAGCTGGAAAGAGTACAAGAAGATGGTCTCTTGCACACAGTCCTCCACCATGTGCTGCGGGAAGGAGGTGGCTTGCGATAGCCACTCGTAGTTCAGCGTCTTGATCTCAATGTTGCCTGCAAGGAGGAACAACATCGTCAGTGCCACAGCAGGCCAAATTTCCCTGTAAGGTTCCTGACAAAGTGCCCGAGCAAAGGTGGTTGACAGAAACAGCTTGTGGGGAGTGCTTTGTTTTGGGGGAGCTCAAGCGGTCCCCTGACCCTTGGCGGCAATTCTCTGCTTCTCCCCTGCCTTTCCACAGAGCAGAGAGCACGCACCCCGCCCCCAGACATGGAGGGGGCAAGCGGAGGTTGGCCACTGCCTTCTCACCCGGGATAAGCACTGTGGGGAATGCCAGCTCCTGCAGACATATCGCGTCCATGTCCAGCTGGAAGACTGGTCTTCGAACCACATACACCTCTTCTTCGCCAACGAATCGCTCTTGGACCACAGCGAAGGTCCCGAGTCCTGTGACCACAACACCCTGCCCAGGAAAAAGACAAACAGGCTGATGAGTGCAGACTTCAGAGATGGGAAAAGTGAAAGCTTTGGGAAAAGCCCATGTTCTCCATTTCTTGTCTTCCCCTCCTCAAGGTGTTTGCTAACATCCTTTGGCCAGAGAAGATCCCCGGCATTTCCAGCACAGGGAATACCCCTCGGACTGGTTCCCAGGGATTATCCTTGGCACAGACCCAGCATAATCCCCTGCTTGGTCTCTTCACTCTGATCACAGGAAAGAGGGAAGCCCCATCGTGCGCCAAATGCTTTCTCAGACTAGATCTGGACTTGGTTTCTCTCCTGGTTGACCAAGAAGCAGCTGTGGGCACACGGGGTTGTCTTACTGTGCTGCCATGATGCTCAGGCAGGGATTGCTCGCTGGGGCCCGGGATCTGGAGAGAAAAGGGGAACCAAGACGCCAGGGCACCTTGTCCAGTTTCAGCTGTCCCAGGATGTATGCAGACACGGCATCCCAGATAGCCACAACCTCTGCAAAGCAAGGGAAGGAAAGAGATGTCAGGCTCCAGGCCGTCCATCTCACAGCCTCTTGGCAAGCTCCTTGCCCAGGGGGTGCCAGATGCAGGTGTCCAAAACCAGCCCAGACAAACGCTGCCATGGCTGCGGAGCTGGGCTGCGCCCCAGTTGGCGACTGCCAGCCTTACGCTGCTCCTGGGGCAGCGCTGAAGCAGAAACGGGCATGTGAGAAGGGCTCAGCACCTGGGCTGTGGCCATCTAACGCAGCTGGGATGCAGGACCCCTTTTCATCCCAGAGCCAGAACCCCAAGAAGTACCAGCTCCCAGGGGAAGCTGGCCCTGGATGGCCCCCTTCACAAGGGGGACATGCCACCCATGGGTCCTGGTTGCCGCACGGTCCCCTGAGCCCGGTGGGACCTTCAGGCAGGGCTCTCGCAGCAGCCCCCAGCCCTCTCCAGCCACTCCCACAACCCAGCAGCCACAGCTTTTGACCGTGGACAGCCCCAGTGTCCTTTGGGAAGGAGCTCCTGAAAACCTTACCCTCGGTGGAGAGCTGCAGGAGTGTGGGGAACCAGCTGCACAGCTCAAAGCTGACAGCTACGGTGCAGCAGTCCTCCATTGCCCTTGTCGCTCGTCTGCAGCTCTGGTAAAAAGATGCTCTTCTCAGAGTGTGTCCTCTCCTCTCTGATGTGCCTCTGCTTCTCTGCCTGTCAGCGAGGGCTCTGCCTGTCAGCGAGGACCCACCAGAACAGCCCTGCTGTCTCCTGACCCTTCTACTGGCTCTGGATTAGCTTCAAAGGGCAGCACTGGGGAGCCCTTGAGCAGTGTCCAGCAGTGCCCAGGCCTTGCTGGGAAGTGCTGCGGCACTGAGGAGACCTCTCCTTTTATGTGGGGCATCCCTCTGTGACATCAGTATGCATCACTGGAAGGTGCATTATGACATCACAGAGAGTTGGCTGGCACGGGGCTTCCCCCGCCCAGCACCTGGTCTGGCTCAGGCGCTCCCTGCACAAGCCCTCTCGACGGATAAAGCCCAGGTATCAAGAATAACACCAATATGGTTTGCCAGCTTGATCCAATTTTATTAAGTACAGAGCATCTTATAGACTATTAGGGCGTGATCGCATACAGCTAAACAAGCTGTGATTGGTTCTAAGCTACTGTCCACACAATATAACTCATATTTAATTGGCACAACGCAAGAAGCACAAGCAAGAAGTACGAGCCTATGGACCTCCTACTCAATGTTTCAACTTCACTCCATATCTCTAGTTAAGGAATTTGCTAAACAACAGCTCTCTATGCAGTGGCAAGCCAGAGAGGAACATTGAACAATAAGTTCTTTACACAGAGGCAGCTAGCAGAGAATTACTGTCACGTCCCGCTCCAATGAGGGGGACAAGTGACTCAGATTCGCAAATCCCCAGTTGGAGCGGACAACAAGTCTCCAAGTTCAAGCATTTATTAACTACCTACAATGCACTAATTGAACACATGATAATTGGCTAAGTACAGAGCAAGCTGTGGTGAGCAATACAATATGGTTTGCATTTCTTAATAGAAAAAGGAAAAGAGGGAGATAGAGGGAATGGGGGAATACAGATCACCGGTCTGGGTTCCTGCGCTGCTCCTGCCGGCGAGGATTCCAGGAGGCAGCCATCTTCTTCGCTGGCATCCGTCTTCTTTGCTTCACTGCTCTCTCCAGATGGCCGGGGGGGGGCAGGGAGAGAGAGAGCCCTTTCTTCTCCCCTTTGATTTATACCCACTTTCCTTGGGTCCATCCCCTAGGTCAACCCACAGACCTACGTATCCCATGTACGGGGAGGGGTAAGGTGTTCCATGGGATGATGTCACTTGCATGATCATGACAGCCCTCGTTAGCATATTGAGGGGTGTCAACTTTAATACGCATTTCGTGGATAATGAAGCAAAGTTCACTCACCGGACACATGGCCCTTGAAATCTGCCCAGGTGCCCCAGAGAAGAGCCGTCCTGTCTCCACAGGGCTCTCTCCCCCAGATACATCGGGCAGCCTTATCAGCTTCGGCCTCCACAGAAAGCACCCTGTGACTCATAGTTTTGTCTTGCGAGTGTTTGAGGCATATTTTCAATCAGCCTCAACTTTTGCTTTCCCAGGCTGTTTGTCTTAGTTTTTCACAGGCCTGGTTGCTCGGCTCTCACAATTACTCATGTCGGTATCAAGGACCAGGTGGCCATTATCTTCCAAAAAGATAATCTCCACAAAGCCCCACACCCGCATTCCCCCCTCACTGGGTTTGCAGCCGGAGCCGTGGCTCCTCACGGGCCAAGCACAGGGCGGAGCTCGGGACTGCGGCATCTTGAGGCGAGACTCTCCCATTAGCGGTGAGTGTCCTCCTGCCTGCACATCTGGAGCGGTACCGGGACAATCAGCAGGCAGAGAGCCAGCAGGGAGTTATGGTGTGCCTGCTGGGACCTGGCTTCAGACCCCAACCCACAGCGACTGAGCCACACAGAGTGGAGCAGCTTCCCGGGGAGCAGGCTCCCCGCACCGCTCAGCCTGCCCGGCAGCTGCTGTCAGGGCACTCTTCTCCTTCAAGCGCGGGCCCGTCCTCCAAAAGTGGCAAACAGACCTCAAGAGAAGTTGCTTTTCCCTTCACTGAACTAAGGAACAGGCATCTCCTTTTACTGGTTTATTTTTCGTTTGTGAGGAAGGAGAAGGTAAGTACCGACCTGCAGGAGGTTTGTGCCCGAGACCCTGAACTGCAGGTGGCCTGTGCGGCCAGCTCAGAGCTGAGCAGTTCCTGATTTAGGACAGACAGGATTCAGGCTTTCGCCTTTTTCTTGCCCATTCCTCCTTTGTATCTTGCTGATTACTCTTTCGGAGCCTCTGTGTTCGCTGCGATGTCTGGGCACTTGATGCAGCCTGAGAGTCTTCTGAGCAAAAGGAGACCCGTGTCCCGAGAGGCCACAGCCCAGCCTACGTCTCTACCACACAACTTTGACAATAATGGTTTAGAAGGCAGAGACTCACAACACTTGTAACACCGAATTCAAAGGTCGTTTTTCGAAGCCACTTTGATTTAACAGGAACTTGTAGAATTGGCTTCAAAAATACAGATCGCTTTTAAGCCAAAACACTCTTTGTAACTGCTGCTTGGTTTATTCTCATTTGCAAGAAATACGATTGATTTGAACACGTTTTCCACATCAATTCAACTAAGTTTGTTTAAATTCAAACTTCAAATCTAAAATAGATAAAAATCCAAACTAAAAAAATATAGAGCTCTGCTCATAACTATTACCTCATGTTTTGAGCCTCTTGTGCTCAAAAGGATTATATTCTGATTTTATTCCAGTGTTATCTCTGAGAAGTTACAGAACACTTTTTTCACCTCAGAGCACTTTAGGTAGCTTATGTCCTAAAAATACTTCACTCCTGCTGACCAGCAAAATTCATGGTGCACAACGAGGTGCAGAATCTCCCCAGCAATGCCAGGCGCCTCAGGCAGCGGTGCTCAGAAACAGGAGAGAGAGGGCCTGAGCTTATCACAGATGAACAGAAAAGGCATCTAATTAGACCTACCTGGAGATCCAGGCGTGATCTTCAAACAGAAGCTTCTGCAACTGAACGTCTATGAATCTCCCTTCTGTTAAACAGAGAGAAAAAAAGATGCAAATAAAGGAGACGGAGACTGTACTCGTCTTCAGTGAGGGACAAGAGCAGAGCTGTCAGAGACCTGGTGAGGAACACAGGAGCCTGTGGTGGGATTCATCTGCCGCAACGTGGATGTTTCTAATGGAGGCACCCACCTCCCAGCCAATCCTGGTCCCATTTTAGGCAACGGGGATTTAGTCAGTATAACCAATGAGTTCAAGGAACTGTTTATCTTACCCTCAAGTAAATGCTTATGTGTTTGGTCAGAGAGACCGTGCACTGGATTCACTGAGTTTATTTATTATATCTCCTTTAAAACAAAAGACGCCCCCAGGACATTTGTGCAGGCAGAGACGATTATAGCTACACCACAGACACACTGCTGAGGTCGGATAAATTACAGCCCATCGCTGCACTACCCAGTCTGGCTCAGTTGGTGAACTGACACCTCCCTCACCCCCAGAAGAGCTCCTGTAACCCCCAGAGAAGGGAAATGGCAGATTCACCTGTTCAAGCTCTTCCCCTGCCTGTGAGCAATGGGACTAGTCACTGGAGCAGAGGAAGAAAGCCCGTGTCCCCCACAGTCCCCAGCTCCTGAAGATCATCCAAGGAGACCTGTGGGTCCAAATTTTACCTCTTCTGAATCACAAGTGTCGAGGGATTTCTGCCAGGCCCAGCAGCTCCAACCGCACCTCCTGGATGCGCTGGGTCCGTTGACACAACTGGGAGGGACCCTTCAAAAACTGCCCCAGAGACCCAGAGATTCCCCAGCGGGTGGGGGCGGGGCTGTGCAAACGAGGGACCTCAACAGCCGCTGCCGTGCCGCTGCCACCCCCCAGCCCTCACAGCACCGACTGCTGCAACACACCAGCCCCTCGTGGGGTGACACCCTCCCGTCCCCCTTGAGGACACGAGCTCTGGGAACAGCATGGGCTGAACCCAGACACGGCGTCCTGGCTCCTGGAGGAGGGATGTGCACGGTCATCTCCTGCTGAGAGAGAAAAAAACGGCATTAGAAACCCCCCCACCTGACACAACAATAGCATTAACTCATTTAAGCCAGATGCAGAAGATGCTTCTATGAATTTCTGACCCTTTTTTAGAACACTCATTCACTTTGCCCAGCTGCAGACCCTCCCCAGTCAGCCCAAAGAGAAACATGATGCTGTCACGACACATGGGGACACTGGGACATGGCGGGGACATGGAGACGTCCCCACATCGGGACACTGGGAGAGCTGGTGGCTCCCGATGTGTGTTGTGATGATGGGGATGAGCTAGTATAGACTGGGGACATGGTGGGACACGGGGGGGGGACACAGGGGGTTTTACAGCAGCCATGGGTGACCAGGACAGGCTGGTGACATCCCCCAGGGATCCTAGGGGAGGGGACAGACTGGGAGATGGTGTCCCCCACAGTCAAGTATTTCTCCAGGGAGAGGGTGGGGCTGTTCATCAGAGCCTTCGCCATCCCCATGAGGCAGATGAGCAGCACCAGGTTTTTCTGCACCATGTTGACATGGACATGGGGCAAAGGCGGACCCCCAAAATTGGGGGGGGTGTCACAAAGGCCACCTCACCTTTGGGGCACATCCATGTTACCCGATGTGTTGGGGACACCCTTGGGGCTCACCCCCTCCCAGATGAAGGTGCTGAAACATGGAAGCATCTGGTAGAGACCGGGGTCAGCGGCGATGCTCTGCAGAGCTGCAGAGCTTGATTGGGGGGGGGGAGCCTGCCCAGTGCTCCCAGTCACACCCAGTTACCTCCCAATTACCATCCAGTTACCCCCGCCCACAATGCCTCCCTCTCAGTTACCTCCCAGTCTCTTCCAGTAAACCACCAGCCCTTCCCAGTAGCCCCCAACTACATCTCCAATCCCCTCCTGGTGCCTCCCAGTCTATCCCAGTACCCTCCCAGTAGGTCCGAGAAGCCACCCCATTACCTCTCAGTATTCCACAACCCATCCCAGTACTCCTAGATACCACCCAGTTACCTCCCAGACCCCCCCACTC